ACTTCACTTCACTTCAAAGGGGAAAGAACCCATTTTTATGTTCTTACAGTGGTGTTTATTTGGTGGTTGAGATGAGTAATGAAATCAGGCAGGTCCGGGTTCACATCTAGCTCTGCCACTTTCTATCCCTGTGACCTGAAGCAGATTGCCTGTTCTCTCTGAGCCCGTCCCCTCTACAATGTGGTCCTAAGATGAAATAAGAAAATGCTTTAAAAAGAACTGTTGGCTGTGGTTATTATTGTTGTTTTATCATGATTGGGTGGGGGGGGCACTCTCTGGCCAGAATTTTTAATCCACTTGACACCTTTTGAGGTATGTACATTTTGCCATTTTTGCTGTAAAACACTTGAATAACTAAGATTCATTTTTTCTCCTCTTTTCAAATGCTTAAATCACAGGTGCAGTTGCCAAAAGAACTGGCATAAGAGGCAGCAGAATAATCAGGGGAAGAAGGAAGTGATGTAATGACTCTGGGATTAGAACCTGAAGACTGCTTCAGCCGCTTACTTCTGGATCCAGGTGGTGGAACTGGGAACATTGCTAACTGATACGAGTATTTTATAAAAGGCAGAATACTTAGCCTGTGACAAAATGGAAGCTGAAAAGGCAGGAGAAGGAGATAAACTCTTCAAGGCAACATTTTCTACTTCCAACTGGTTGGAGTGACTTAGGTGCAATTTAGAGTCTTCTGGCAGAAGTTAATATTTTCATAAACCTTTGCTTTATTATTGCTTTCTTCTGGTCAATAACAATAAATATGATACAGGTGTTAACCATTATATTCCCATTTTTGTTTTCTTCTTCCATCCACTCTGCTGTAATTTATCACACAGTATCTTAAAGAGAACAGAGCGTGCTTCACTCTGTGGAAATGTGCAGGGCGAATTGAACTCCGGGCCCTTCAGAAGTTTTGAAATCGAATAATTTGTTCATTACCTCTTTTCTGGAGAATCAGTTGCAATTTCTGGTTTCCAGCCCTGCCTAGCTTTCTGTCTTGGCCATTCCCCTGTGTGTTGGGGGACCCTCTAGAGAGGGGTATCATGAAGAGCAAACACTTAAGCCACAGGATATGGAGAAAACAGTGTTTCTGGAAAAAGTAACGGGGAAAACAAATCCTGCTTATATATAAAACCTTCTCTGTTTGCATACATATGGAGAAAATGGGAGATAGCATGCTAGTTTTGTTTAAAACAAAAGACATTATGAATAATATATTTACTGAGCTTTGGTTTTAGCTAAGTGTGTACATATATATATATTTACTTTAGCCTGTAAATGATCTTGATCTTGTTCTCAAAAATCTTAATGAAACTTGCTAAAGAATTAAACTTGAATTCCTTATCCTATCATTCAAGGCCCTCCATTGCCTCTTCTCAGTTTGGTAATTGTCTTATCTGTTCACCTTTGTTTTCTAATCTTATTATTTTGCTTTACAATGTTGTGTATATACTATTCTTATAAAATTTCCTCATGCTTTTGCTCTCTGCTGAGTACCCTTAGAGACTCCACAAGTCTTCAAGACAACTCCATCCCCAGTGTCTGTTCTTCTTTCCTCGAGCCCACAATTACCTGTTCAAGTTACTAGGTGCAAAGAATTTGACATTTTGTACTGACATGGCATGAGACTAGAAATCAGGAAGTCACACTTTGATGCCTTTTCTCTCTCCCTCACCTAAGCAAATAATTGGCACCTGTCTTCTTTTATATAATTATAGGTGACACATCACAGGCAAAACAGGCTAGGAGAGAATGGACTTAATGAGGACAAACAACACAATATATGGAAGGAGAAGTCATGGGAAAGAAATACGATGTTTCCATTTTTAAAAGGTAATTTAGTGGATACAGAAGTATCTGAATTTGAAATTATAGTTTTCAATCAAGTAACTAATTTTATTTAGACTAGTCCAAGGCTGAGAGTTTCGTTTTCTCCTACTTTGCTATTTCTATAAAGCATCCTTGGATACATATCCAGATGGTTTAAAAAGAGCTGCAATAAATACAACTTCTAAAGTGTCCAGCATATTCTGTATTTAAGAAGCTAAACTCTGATGGGACAGGGCACTCTGAACATGTTTAAAAGCTTAATTTATATTAGTAGTTGAAGTTCTGGAAAACTCTTGTGTTTGTTTATACAGCAACAGTATGAATAAATAAGCCAGAAATTTTACAAAGCGTTAAGAGTTCTGAAAGGGAACTTCACTCTTAGATGTCCAAAAAAGAAAAGATGATCCAAATTCAAATTTACCAGCTCGTTACATGGGTTTTGTCAAGAGACAAGTGAAGTCATTCACAAGCTTTTTTCTATTCACCCACTCCCACCCTAAAAATCTTAATTGAAAATTTTAATTTTAGCATTTCCATGCTAGAATTTTCTATTATAATCCTTCCAGAAATGACAATCAACCATTAGTAATTAGAATAGTATATATATTTTTTTCATTCAAGTTGTCACTTTCTCCACATTTATTGCATTTTAGTCTGCAGAATTCACCATGTAGAAAATGGGTCTAAAATATGTATAAGCCCATGTCAGGTTTAAAAAAGGATCCTATTAGGATTTGACTTTATTCTGACTGGAGATTAATAAATATTAAAGTTTTATTAACAGTATTTGAAACACAAGCTGAGATTTTTTGCTGCACAGAAACAGGCTTATCGTTTGTGTAGGGTTGTCACTGAGTTTCTCAGACATTTAACACAGACAATAGTCTGAAGTAAATAGTCTCACCCCGCACCCTCCCCCCCAAAAAAATCTTTCATAAATTTTATTCTTCGTATTTAGGTAAGGGTCCAAATTCTAGACCATGTGAGTGAAATCACGATGATATCACTGTGCTGAAGAGGAAAACTGCAGGTTGGGTGAGAAATCAAAATGCGAGAAAAATTGAGTGGCATATGCATTGCTTCTTCTTCTACGATGTACAAGAGTCTCTTCAATGAGTACCGCCCCAACTGTCTGCATGCTAGGGAAATCTAAATATTTTCTATTCATCTATGAAATCACTCGGCTGGCAGGGAAAACATGTTATATCATCTATTTCAAAATACATGGGGAGTAAAAGGAAGCAAGTAACAGCAAATATAAACTCATGCTATGTTAATTCTAATGCCTAGCTATAAAAACATACAGTGGTGCCAAGGTCCATCTAAAAGTTTTATGAACTGCAGAAGTCAATGATCATTTTCATTCTCATTTTTAAAGGTCTGTTTGCTTGGTCATCTAAAGATGCTTTTCACATTTCGAAAGATCAGCTATTACTGTCCTCTTCTTACCCCCAAGGAATTAATAAAAATGCACATTCATTTCTTACCTTCTAAATGTGGCAGTTAAAAACTGAAAAAAAAGACTAGAAAGGGGAAAGTAACAACTTTCTCCATTAGCTACAGTCCAGTCTGCTTCTCTAACTGACCCACATCCCTCTTTGTCATTATAAAAACAAAAACTGTGCAGTAGAAACTCATTTTATTCAGATTTTAACAAGCTCGTCAAGAATAATACAGGCTACAGAGCTGTAACCCCCTTAAAGAAGATGATATTTAGTTTGCAACATATGCCTTCTAATGAAAACATTAATAGCATTTCAAAAATTTACAAAAAGTTTGATAAAATATTCTCCTAAGCAGCTAGCAGCTTTGTTTGTAAACAAAATAGAAACAACTGCTTTATCCACTGCACATCAACCAGGAGGCAAAGTGATCAAGATCATTTTTTATTTTAAACAATAATAATAAAAGCTAAACTAATTGATACCCCACATATTATAATCCTAAGGAAGGAATATTTTTGGAAGAGGATGCAGAGGGGGATTAAAACAGGATAACATCATCTCCTTTCAGTCTTTTCATTTATTCATATTGCCTTGATACTTTACAAACTGTTTCCTACAAAATAACCATATTGTTGTTGTACACTCCATGATTCTTTTATTCCCCTTAGGAAATAAGGGTGATTCATTTCCAATCAGCTTACATAAACACACTAGAGATGTCATACATAACAGGAGGGTGGTTTCTTTTAGTCGGAGGCCTTTTCTCTGTTGTCAGCAGAGATAAGAACAGGGAGGCCTCTCCGTGCCCGGGGCCACGGATGGCAGGATGGTTCATGCACCTCCTACTTCAAAAACACAAACGGAAAGTAGGTCTGGACAAGGGCAAGCCGCAACTCGATTTCTGCTGCAACCCCATCATCAGGTCAGCTCTGTTTACTCCTTCACTTTACTGATATAGTCAGTGAGCTTGGTGATGGTTTCCTCCTGCTGCTCCAGGGCATCCAGGACAATCCCCATGGGCGTCCTCTTCAGACCAATTCCCTCCATTTTATTCTCCAGTTTGTTCTTGAGGTTCCGGAGCCTCAGCGACGCATGGATGAACATCACTACAGGTAAGTCAAAGGTGACGGTTAGCACCAATGCACCCATTCTCCCTCCCCGCTTCACAAGTAACAACTTTCTCCATTAGCTACAGTCCAGTCTGCTTCTCTAACTGACCCACATCCCAGTGTGGATCCTTAAACCTGACATAAAGCTCTCTGTCAGCCTAATGGACCCAAGTCCCTGTATGGATCCTGGGACTTTACTGTATTCTTTGTGTGTGCAGAATGTCGTATTCAGCAGGAAGGACCATAATCTGGCAGCCACGCTCTTCCCTTCACACATTGTTATCACTGCCTTTCAGATGCTACTTAAATAGCCTGAAATTCAAAGCGAATCGATGTGATTTCAACCTACCTAAAAATGAACGTAATGCTAACCTTTTCCGGAAAAGAACTCATGCTCAGTTCAGGGGTTATCTGTATTTTGTTCCTGCAGGAGGCATGCAAGTGAAGTCCTCTTAGAAGGTGCCTCCCTTAGGGCAGTTGTGCGCCGTGTTGGGTATAGATATCTGGATAAAATGCTATTGCACAGTGTTGGATATAGAATGTCTGGATAAAATGCTAAGGGTTTACAGACCTTATGTAACCTGGTATTCACAGAATTTACCTGATCATTAAGAATTACCTGAGTTTGTAAGAAACAGATTTTCTCTGGCCCATCTCCTGGGCCTCCTGAACTTCTAGAACCTTTACAGGGATGGGCTCAGGAGTCTGTAGTTAAGTCAACACCTTGGGTAATCTACACCAGCACTTTTCAAACTTCCGTGTGCATATAGATCACCAGAGAGAAAGCCTGTTAGACAGGCAGATTCCCAGTCTCCAGCACCTGGAGTTGAGATTGTTGAGTTCAGATTGTTGAGACCGAGGTAGGGTTCCGGAATGTAACGTTTCAGTAGCCACTGTGGATGATTCTGATGTGGGTGATTTGGGGCCCTCATTTTGAGAAGCACTCATGTGCATTCTCTCTGGAGGCTCCTAATCAAGAGTGACCGCTAGAAACATTTGAGGAGCTTTCTAAAAATACAGGTTCTTTGGACAGCCCTGTGGACCAAAGAATCAAGATCTCCAAGGGATGTGACTGAGAAATGTATATGTTAAAATCATCCTGAATGATTCTCACAATCATCAAAGTTTGGGAATCACTGATCTTGTCTAATTCCCTTCTTTTATGGATGAGTGAACTATAGCCCATATAGGAGTTTTGTTGTTCAGTCACTCAGTAGTGTCTGACTCTTTGTGACCCCATGGACTGCAGCACTCCAGGCTTCTCTGTCCTTCACTGTTTCCCAGAGTTTGCTCAAACTCATGTCCATTGAGTTGATGATGCCATCCAATTATTTCATTGTCTGTTGCCCCCTTCTCCTCCTGCCCTCAATCTTTCCCAGCATCAGGATCTTTTCCAGTGAGTCATCTCTTCCCATATAAGACAATTGGTGCAGATCACATAGCTGGTTTCCAGCAGGTCTATGAAGAGAAACCTGGACCTTTGACTCTTAACTTACGATGTGTTTCATTACACTGCTGTTTTCTACAAGCTGTATAGTGAGGCAGAATCACTGAAATACTGTCTCTAGCACATAAAGAAATCCTGAAGAGTATTTCAAAAGTGTCTAAATTTAATGATTTAATTATTTTATCCAATAAAATGTGGGATTCACATATAAATATTCTGGGGGCTTAATCTAACAAACCCTAAACAAGGAATTGATTTTATTTAATGGAATGGCAGCACATGAAATGCTTTTAAAATTTAAAGGGATGTTCCTGTCACTGAGTACATTATAATTCTAATTAGATTTCCACTGATGAGACTGGAGTTTTATCTGTTCTCTATTTCAGGCTTCAAGTGCTTGGGAATCTCAGTCAACAGTGCACATAGACTTTAGAAAATGTCTAGTTCTCGTCACCAGAACTGGAGTCCATGGTTATCTATACTCTGGGCCAACTTACAACGCTTTTGACACTAATTACGATCTTCTGAGTAAGTAGAGAGTAAACATTCATTTCTGTGTCAGCACGGGATGCCTGGCACTAAACAGTTAAGAACAGACTCTAATATCAAACAAATCTGGATGCCAATGCAGACCATGCCACTACTGTATTACTTGGGATCTGAATTTGTTTTGTTTACTGTTGTGTCCCCAGAAGAGTGACACAGAGGGGGTGCCCAGTACGTATTTGTGCCATTAATGGGCTATTCAGCCTTGATCTGCTGTTGCAGAAAACTCTTGATAGTTTTGCAGACCTGCCAACGCACCTCAGGAACAGGTTAGGGCATTCTCACTGGATGAATGGATCGACATTTCTTGATGATATAAGGCTCAGGTTCACTTACACAGCAAGGGAAAAGTGATACCAAACACAAAGACCATCACTCCCCCGAACATGGAGATGAGGAAGTAGCTGGCTAGCATGACCACCATGACAAACGCTGTGGGGTACTGCTTCTTCATCCGACGGAGGATGTCTTTATTGTGGGCTGCCCACACAAAGCCCGTGAACACGAGCACCACCACAATGCCTCCAAGGATCATGTTGAAGGGGCTCAGGAACCTGGAATATGGAAGAAAGGGGGAGCCCAGGTCAGGAGGAGGGGAATGAGGAAGGGGGGAGGGGAAGAGTAACAACAAAGCATACTTACCAAGCCTTTTCTCTAAGTTGTCTCATTTAATCCTCATATCCTGACGAGGTCGATAGTATTAAACCACTTCTCAAAGGAAGAAACTTGGGCACAGAGGTCAGAACACAGTGGAGGGAAGATTCACAGGAGGCAGTGTACTCCCACCAAACAGCCCATCACATTAGAGGCCCAGCATTTCAGTAGACGAGAGCCCCTTTGCTGGATGGGATGTCTTTAGCTTTCCTACATCCTGGGCTCTAGTTTCAAGGATTGTATTTTCTGAGCTCCAAGGGCTTATTTAAATCCTCCTAGAATCTGCCACGCTAGATGAACGTGGAGTTCAGGTCACATGGTGGTTCAGCCCACACACGGTGGGCTTCATAAGCCAGTCTGCAGTCACACTTGTGTCTGGACTGTACAATATTTTTAACAACTTTTACTTGAATCCCAATGTGTGTGTGTTTGTGTGTGTGTGTGTGTGTTTAAATCCATCAACCTTGGGGTTTCTTGCTTCTCCTGGAAACAAGAAAATCTCACAAAACGAGGCCCAGTTTCCCACGTCAGCCACTGTCTAGAGTGCCTTCTCCTTTACACAGAATAAATGCTCTCCATTTAACCTCAGCCCCCACCACTATCTATGGAAATCTTTGACACAGAGGCCCCCAGTGAGCAGCCATTAATAACTGTTTTTCTAACAGCTGCCTTGCCCTGGTCTCTTACATAAGCTGCCTGGCCCATGGAGGCATTTGGGTTTATGACTCCTGGTTAGAGAGGCCACTCTAATTCTTTAAAAGGCCCAGAGTATCATTAGGAGATGGGTTATCAACTGAGATTTCCAGGCATAAAACCTCAAGTTTCATTGTTACCTGAGCCAAAGGTTACACTGCTGTTGATAATGGGGGAAAGCCATTTATAAAGAGGACGTGTTGGTCAAGTACTTCATAAGTGAGAATGACTGGGCATTGTAGCCCCACCCATCCCCACCCTCAACCCACTGTGTGTATAAAATTCTTAAAAGACATTTGTGGTCAGCAAGTATGATGATTTACTAACTTTTTACCCTCCTAAGAGGCTAATGAGCATGTTGCTTGGGAAGAACAAGGAGGGGTCACTGTGTTATCAGCATCACTGATTTGGAAGACAGGATAATGAAAGGATAATGAAAGGTGATGCCAAGAACTGACTTTCTCCAAAACAGAAAAAATGAAGTCATTTCATATTGGGATTTATATTTAGGATAACTAAGACTCCTTTTTAAAAAATCCCTTGAAATTTTTTGCTCTGATTCTGCCTCCTAAAACAGAAAAGCAATTTTACTATTTAATATTTAAATACTTTCAAATAGGAGTGAAAGTATTGCATATCTTAAGGGGTGAAAGCAGGGACATAATTAATGTCAAACTCCTTTGAAAAAGTTAATTTCTACTGAAATGCATGGAGCTAAACAGTGATCAAAGTAGTAGCATGTAGTTTTAAATTAAACTCTATAATAAGTTGCTTATTTCATTCAGAACTCTTGCAAAGACTTATACCCTTCCAGGCAAAAATCTCTTCAGAATAGATAATGTAAAGAAATTAATAAAAATGCAAAGACTGAATTGTAACAGTATTCACATGAGTGGTATTTATAACTTTTAGAAACAATGTATATGGCCAACAATGTACTAAATGGTGACATATATAATTATTTTCAAAAAGTCAAAGTATGCTTTATCATGCATGAAGGCAATAATATATTGCTTAGGTAAAAGCAACAATTCTCTCTGGTAGGTGGATTTAGAACCTATGTTATATAACTCAGAAGTAGAAATTTCTACAATCAGTACATTATTTTATGATCAGAAATAAAGTGAACATACAAAACAGAAAACGTAAAGATAGAAAAGTAACTGCTCCCCAGCCCCGGCCTCCCTGGTGGTTCAGACGGTAAAGAATCTGCTTGCGGTGCAGGAGACCTCAGTTTAGTCCCTGGGTTGGGAAGATCCCCTGGAGGAGGGCATGGCCACCCACTCCAGTATTCTTGCCTGGAGAATCCGTGGGCAGAGGAGCTTGGCGGGGGCTACAGTCCACGGGGTCACACAGAGTTAGACACGACTTAGTGACTGAGCGTGCACGCAGGATCTCCAGCCCCACACCTCTGGCTTTGGGCAGGCCAACTACAACAATCTTGCCTTGCTTCATCTCTCCAGTGATGCTGATGCAATTTCAATTCATGAGCACAGCCAAGCTCTGCCTTCTCCCACTCAAACTCTGGTTTCCGGCTCACTGTCCAGATCCTCTTTCAACTAATACACCCCACCCCACCCCACCCTACTCCTGAAGCTTTCCCAACATCCAGCACATGTGCCTGTCTCTGTGTCCTCCTTCTCCCTCAGCGTGTTCATTATCTAGGTCTCTTGGCCCTCTTTTCTTTTCTTTTTCATGATTCTATCTGGGTTATACCGTCTCTCCAGCTTTGACCCTAGAATTGGTTTGGCAAAGACAAAAATGTCCTTCAAGGTCTGGGGAAGGAAAGATCTAGGTCAGGGCCAAAACAGGATCTTCTTTTGCAGGTGATGGGGAGACTGGGTGGAGAGGCTTAGAAACTCTCCCAGACTAACACATTTCATTTCTAGCACCAAAAACATTATGAGAAAAATTTAAAAGACTCTAGCAGTTTTACTGGGTAATAGGATCATGGGTAGTATATTCCCATTTGCTTATTTCTATTTTCATATTATTTCAATAGTCATATATTACTTGAAGATAAAATAATTGATATTTAAAAATAAAAGTAATGGGAGAAAGTTGCCTGAAAGAGACAAACCCTTTTACATAGACTTGATGTTGACCAAATCAATATTAACTAGAAGAACTAGAGCAGAAGGTTCAAGTTTAGGAAACTCCTTTGAAAAGCTCCAAATAGGAGATGGTTGCATGCTGATGACTCTGTGTGTGTATGTGCTAATCACTTCGGTCATGTCTGACTCTTTGCGACCCTGTGGACCTTAGCCCGCCAGGCTCCTCTGTCCATGAGATTCTCTCCAGGCAAGAATATTGGAATGAGTTGTCAATGCCTCCTCCAGCATATGTTCCTGACCCAGGGATTGAACCCGTGTCTCCTGAATTGGTAGGCAGGTTCTTTATCACTAGCACCACCTGGGAGGCCCGGGAGATGGTTGGTTGGTGGAAAATGTCAAAGGTCTCCATCTCAGTTCTTCCTGGAATATCTATTAAAATAATAATTTACAAGGCAGAGCATATAATAAAATGCATGCCAAGTTTTTTCTATGTTTCTTGGTACAAGTGAGGTAGACCTCTAGGCTGAATGGCTAAATCAAGCCCAGGACAAAGAACAATGAAAAATCTAGGCCTGACTCAAGCAATTCCAAATGTACTTTTCACCTGCTCCTGTTGCTCATGTTCAAGAAGAAAGAACAGAGCAGAGAGTCCTATAGGACTGGTTTTAGCTTACCCAATGCCCAAGCTGTGATCTATAATTAGAAACTGAAGTTACAAGCTGGAAAAAATGAACAAAGTTACTTGGAGCAGAAATGATTTTCTTCTTTATTCTGCGCAAGTGCAATTCTGTTCTAAGAAAGGGGAAAGTGCACAGCACCCACTGCCCTGGCACCTCCTTGTACTTGGAGCAAAATAAAATACACAGATCATCCTCCAGAGATTAACTTCATTTTCCAGTTAGTGCAGGAGTTTTGGAAACCAGTTCTTGTTTGAAATGAGTAAAGCTTTTACTTAACAGTTTGGGTTCTTAGTGACATAAATCAACATAAAGCCCAAGGACCATTAGGATAAAACTTTCATAAATAGGTCACCTAGCTTTCATGTGGACAATTGCTGTTGGATTTGATAGGTGCCATTTCATTTTTTGGAGGTCCATGAATGAGGAGGAAGGGAGGCAGGAAGCTAGATGGAAGCAAAGGAGAGGGGGAAGAGAGAGAGGAGGGAGAGAAGAGAGAGACCGAGGGAGAGATGGAGAGATGGTGATTTTGTCTTTGATGAAAACAGGACTTTCCTTTACAAATCAAAAACATTAAATACGTTTTTCTATTGTGAGTTGAAAATATATACCTACATATATATGTATCTTGAGCTTCCCAGGTGGTGCTAGAGGTAAAGAACCCGCCTGTCAATGCAGGAGACATAAGAGACCCAGGTTTGATCTCTTGGAGGAGGGCATGGCAACCCACCCCAGTATTCTTGCCTGGAGAACCCCGTGGACAGAGGAGCCTGGCGGGTTACAGTCCATGGGCTCGCAAAGAGTCAGACACAGCCAAAGCAACTTAACAAGCACACACATGCATGTGTATTCTACTCAGTAAGAAGATAAATGACAATATCAATATGACAGATAAATGTCATAGTTAAAAATTCATAGTGGAATCACTAACAGTTGTAAAAAGGCTTAGAATCCCATCACAGAACTCTGTAGTTGACTCTTCAAAGAGGAATAAGTGCAATCCCATTACACGGATGAATAAGCTGAGACCCAGGGCAGTGAATAAACATATTTAGAGGAATCCAGGGGTAGGAAAAACAGTGCCAGTTGACACAATTCATAATGTAACCCATTCTGTGTTGTTAACCAGCTCCAGGGATTTCCCCCCGTCAACCATTTTAGAACCCTTTTCTTCTAGTTTGGGGTAAGCAACTAAAGGTCATTCTAGAAAATCCCTCAACATTCTCATTTGTCTCTAAAGGAAGGTAGTTATGAGCTGGTGTGGACGCAGGTCCTAAACTTACCAACGTGACTCAGCTAGCTATGGCTGTAGTTTCAACACAAGTTGCTAAAAGAAAAATAAAAATCTTGGCCAACTGCAGAATTTTAGAGCTAGCATGGATCTTGAAAACACATCTCATTCTACACAGAAAGAGTTAGTTGCTCAGTCATGTCTGACTCTTTGTGACCCCATGGACTGTAGCCTCTGTTCATGGAATTTTCTACACAGAACTAGGATAAGAAACAGGTAAGTTAATAAATTTGTTCTGAGGCTCCCAACTGCAGTGCTAGTGATAAAAGTTTATTCAGAGATCTTCAAATTGACTCAAGTGCACATTCGTTAATGCCTGCCATGCTGTAATGCCAACAAGAACCAAAGAGGCAGTGAAATATTTTCTGAGCAACAGAAGTAGCTTTGCACTGCGTTCCAATTTTCTAACCCTCAAAAAGCTATTTTTGTAGTTTGGTTCCTGAGGAAGCCTGACTCACTAAGAAAGGGGGGGAACAATTTACTCACAATGCACTTCTCTAAATTGGTGATATTTTTCTGAGGTTCTGAAACAACCAGAGGAGTCACTGCAAATATGAATCCACCCATCCATTTTCTTGCTTCCTAGTGCTCTTAGGATAAAAACAGCATTTTTTTCCACATTCTACAAGGCCCCGCAGGGTCTGGCCCCTACCTTTCTCTGCAGCCAGGGCCATTGCATACAGTTGTGTAGCTGGTATCTGGTACAAGGGAGCTGAGCTGAGGGTGGGAAACAGGAGCCTGAAATTCAGGCCACACTTCACCTGCCAAACTGTGATTTGCCTTACGCTGCATCTGCCAGGAGGAACGGACCTGGCAATCATCAGGTATGAGGGATGCCTAAGGGCTATAGCATCTTTGCCTATCAGCTTTCTCATACCACCGCCTCCTGATTTTCCACACCATCCACTGGGGTTTCTGTCTATCTCTAGAGCCTACCCTGCCCCTGGCCATCCCAAGCCTGAGCACAAGCCATTCTTTCTGCCTGATTCTCTCCTATCTCCTTCAAATCTCAGCTTAATCAGCTTTTTCCTAGTCTTTCTGACCACATCCTAGCACCATCTGCCTCTTCGTCACAACCCCTAAGGTGATACATAACTCTGTGTGTGCAACGGCTTCAGTCATGTCTGACTCTTTGCAGCCCTGTGGACTGTAGCCTGCCAGGCTCCCCTCTCCACAGGATTCTCCAAGCAAGAATACTGGATTGAGTTGCCATAAATTCAGTGGCAATTTGATAATTCTTTGAATGAGTATCTTATGAATGTCTCTGTCTTCCATTAGAGATTAAGCACTATGAGAGCAGGGATCGTGATATTTTCTCCCCAGCACTTGGTACGACACCTGGCACAGAGCAGGAATTTGATAAATGTTTGTTGAAAGAAAGAAAAAAAAAAAAGGTAAGGAAGAGTCTAGCACATTTTCCTGTTATTTAAAGTAAGCTCAGCAACTTTGTATGGCCATGAAATAAATGATGTGAGACTTATCTTGGACAAATTGCTCTTATTCCTCACTGTACACTAAACATTACTGTAAAGATAGTCCCTGCTTTTGCACCTTCACAGAGCTGTGATGAACAAATGAAATACTAGAAGTAGGAAAAACTCCTATGTGATATAAGAAAAGATCAGATGAGATCACAGGACCCTTGGGCTTGCTGCAAGAAAGACTCTTTTCTAAGTTCTGTCTCTAGTGCTGGCTGGGGGCCAGGAGGAGGGCGGGCAGGACAGAGGGAGATCCATCCTCCTGTAGACCTGCCTACGTAGGCCCCCCTTGCTCTCGGATTCCACAGATAACCCCAACCATCTTCTGTGGTTACTTTGGTTCCCCACAGGGCTTTCTTCCTGGCAAGAACTATCTCGATTATAAAGTATAAGTGTATTAAATGCACAAATCAGTTTTGAGTAAACGTGATCAGTGTCTGCTGGATCTCTTGATCACAGGCAGTTAATGTGGGGCAGAGTTCAGTCTCTTTTGTCACAGAAAGGTCAGAGTAACCTAACCTTGAGATTTTCCTAATCGACTGAATCAGCCCACAATATTTATTGCATACTCGCTGTGTACTGAATATTTGTTACACTGTGTGTATTGGTATCATCAAACCAAACACATCCTGATGACCCACTGTCTTGGCAACAGTTGGCATGTTGAAAGTATCTATTGTAAGATATACTTTGGGAACCTCTGTGTTTTCTTCTGTGTTTATCAAGCTCATTGCATGTTTTCTTTGTATTAAACAACAGCCTGGACCTAAGTTAGAAGCTATAAGTCTCACCTCCCACAGCTGTGAAGTTCAGATAGTCATTATACAAGGGATTAGACTGCAGCAGATCTTTTTAAAAAATATTTATTTATTTAGCTGTGCCAGGTTTTAGTGGCAACATGCAAACTCTTAGTTGCAGCATGTGGGATCCAGTTCCTCAGCAGGGATCAAACCTGGGACCCCCACCTTGGGAGCACAGAACCCTAGGCACTGGATCACCAGGGAAGTCCCAGAAAATCCTTTTTAAACTTTTTATTATGGCAAATTCTAAAGGTAAAGAGAATGGTGTAATGAACCTTCATGTATACTGATCACTGCCTTCAACAATTAGAAACTCATGGTTAATCTCATAATAATGCTTTAGAACTCAAGTGGAAAGATGTTTGTTTAAAAACTGTTCTTTCTGAATGCTTTTAGTTGAGGTAACTAAATTGTTGTCACTAGAAAGTTCTTACAGCGCTGTGGAGAGAAGACAGTTGTTTGGACAAATGCTAATGAGTCTGGTGACACATAAACTCCCCTCCTACAAGCAAATCCTTCTCTATTTATCTTCTACTAACCCTGGAGAAGGAAATGGCAACCCACTCCAGTATTCTTGCCTGGAGAATTTCATGGACAGAGGAGACTGGTGGGCTACAGTCCGTGGGGTCGCAAAGAGTAGGACACACAAGCGACTAACACATTCACTTTCAACCCCAATTTCTGCAATTCCTTTGTATTTTGTTTGTATTTGTATTGTATATAATTGTATGCAATTCAATTGTATGCAATTCCTTTGTATTTCACTTGTATTTGTATTGTATACAATTCCTTTGCATTTCCTGGAGACAAGGAGGATTGCACTGATGGGATACAAAGGAGATTTGTAGAAGCAGAAGCCAAAGCCTCCACTTGGGATAGGCCTTCTGCCTTCCAAGTGTCTCCATTTTGTGAATGCTCCCTAGGAGAAAAGATTGGGAAATCCTATTTATTTATATGGGTAAATGCTTCCAGAACTGAAAGACAGCCTACAGGTTTTGCTTAAAATCACAGACACAAAAGTGTTCCCTGAAACAAGAAGCCAAGCTCACCACAAGAGACAGGATGGATGCTCCAAGTATTCTGAAGCTGAGTCATTCATTTATCCAAAACAAAAATTAAGAAAGTCCAATGGCACTGCTCAATTTGGTCAATGTCCAGTTCACCTTTTAGAATTGCATTTTCTGTACAGAGCTCTCTGCCCCTGGTAAGCTGACTGAGAGCTTTTGCCCTCTTAGAAAGAGATAAAAAAAGAACCCCAAATCCACTTATTTATTTGTACATTTACCCAGAATCATTGTAAATCCTTACATAGGCAAAGGAGATAGAAACTACTAACCCCAGTCTGGCAGCAGTAGGGGATTTTTTTTTTTAAAAGGGTAAATGGGGAGATGTTGAGAAAAACAAGGTTACATACGTAGTGTCAGAGAAGATGATCTAATGAATTCTTATTTGATGATGAATTTTCAGATGAAAATTGACTGTTGATAGACCTCTTCAAGTTCTACATTCAGAAGAAACACATATCGTGCCAGGGAAAGACATGTGCCAGCATGCCAAGCGCAGTGCCTCAAGTGCAAATAAAAGTGTGTGGGAGAGCAGGGAGAGATGAGTTCTGGGAGGACTGCGGAAGGCTGGGTGGACTTGTACTCCCACGGGTATCATCAGAGCATCCACGGTATCTGGGATGGAGCAGGTGCTCAGTAAATATCTGTCCAATTGAGTAGACGGCATCTGAGCTGCAAGTGAGGATGGTTCCACTTAATAATCCTTTCTCCATCCACACACTTAGTACCTCTCCCACTTTTTGACACCTGCAAGTTTTGCAATTTGGAATCATTAATGTACAGGGGAGATCAGGTTAAGTCAGGTTGAAAACGATGTGTGTTTATATATGTGTATGTTTCTGTACACTTGCTATACTCGTATAAAAATTGATTATTATGTTTTCAGCATCATCTTGGTGCCTCTCTAGACTCTAAAAGTTATAAGGGCAGGAACCAGGCTGTCTTATTCTTCACTGTATCTCCCAGCATAATATCTGAGATTTTGGTAAGTGATTCATACTCTTAGTGGAATCAATAAAGGAAGCAACACAAGTGAGAGAAATATTGTAGAACTGGCTTTGAAGCTGATAAATTTCAGGAAACACTTCCATTAAGTTCAGCATAAACAGATTGCAATTAATGCTATCTGCAAAGGTTTTAATACATTCCCTTCCATCCAAGGGCTCTCTGACTCTTCTCTTCCTCTACCAACTAGAAACTTAAAAGGTATAAACAATCTGCCCATTTCTTAAAACCAGGTATTGGTAGCTACTAGCCTAGAACATAAAATGAGACCACTCATTTTGAAAAAGATTACAGTATAGTCTTTTCAGATAGAATTACCAGCCTTCCAGAAACTCCTTACCATCCCAAGCAACTGAAAGCAAAAACTGGTAACTGTAGTTTCTGCCCAGTGGTAACACCTGCACAGCCCATACAGGGATGAAGTATTTCAGCTAACAAAATATGAGCTGATTCACTCACCAGCTACATTATGTTGCCTTAAAGGAGAAGCCCCAATGTACATCATTGAGAATAAAGGTGCCTTTCTGGCTGGAGACACAGCAGAGGCATGGACATAACGCACAGAATCTGTGTGAGGTGAGTACTTCTGAGGCCACATCAGAAAATATGTGTTCTAATGGCAGGGAGTATTTGTGAGAGGGAGACAGGCATGATAATACAAATGTTGTGAGTCAGGTATGCTGTTGAATTTGGTTAATAAGGAGCTTTAGAATATATGCAATGGCTTAATGGACAAAGTATTTCAATTACATTAATAAACCAAGCTTCTATTAGTAGCTTTGATTCAAATTAGCCTCGTGACCTTCACATCTATGAAAGCTGTGGGGTTTGACGGGATCAGTATTTTTTTTATTTTTAGCTTTCTTTTTTTTCTTTCTCGCTCTCTATTTTTTTTAGTTTTTAAATTATGAGAATATGATAACATGTACAGGAAACTTGGAAAATATGGAACAAAGTTACATATGGTCCCACTATATAAGTAGGTAAATTAAGATTTTTAACTAAATTTTTAATATCAGACTCTAAAGAATCAATAGAATGAATATACAGAGAAGTAGAAGGATACAGAAGACCTGAAAAGCACCATGAACCAATTCAACATAATTAAGATTTATATAATTTTCACACAATGGTAGGATACAAATTCTCTTCAAGTTCCCTTAGACCGTAAACTAGGAGACACTGGAACATATCCAGGGATATAAAACAAGGTGCAAAAATTTCATGGCCTAAAGGTACCGAAATCTATATATAGAGTCTGTTCTCTTATCACTGTGGGATTATGTTAGAAATCAATATCAAAAGATGTTTTTAAAATAGCTCACATATTTTCAAGTTCAATGTGACATTTACCAACAGAGATCTTTGACTTAGCCATTGAAAGCCTCAAAGTTAGAAGACTGAAAAAAACACAGAGGGTGATTGCAGAGAAGAAAGCATTTAAATGAGAAAGTAATATCAAAGATACTTTAAAACCTCCAAGCATTTAGAAATTAAATGTCCACTATTAAATGATGGGTAAGAATTGATGCTTTTGAATTGTGGTGTTGGAGAACTCCGACTCTTTAGAGTCCCTTGGATTGCAAGGAGACCAAACCAAACAATCCTAAAGGAAATCAGTCCTGAATATTCATTGGAAGGACAGACGCTGAAACTGAAGCTCCAGTACTTTGGCCATCTGGTGTGAATAGCTGACTCATTTGAAAAGACCCTGATGCTGGGAAAGATTGAAGACAGGAGCAGAAGGGGATGACAGAGGATGAGATGGTTGGATGGCATCACCAACTCGATGGACATGAGTTGGAGCAAGCTCTAGGAGTTGGTGATGGACAGGGAAGCCTGGCATGCTGCAGCCCATGGGGTCGCAAAGAGTTGGACATGACGGAGTGACTGAACTGAACTGGTATCTAGCAACAAGGAAAATTAGAACATATTTGTAATATAAGAGGGATCAGTACTTCTCAGTTTCAACTTAGGAGACATATCAGAATTACTTGGGGCATTGAAAAAAAAAAAAACACAGATGCCTGAAACTAGCCAAGAACTATACACCAAGAATCTCCAAAGGTAACATCTGGGCTTATAGGTTGATTTATTTATATTTTTTTACTCTTTCCTTTGAACCAGATCAGATCAGTGTTTTTTAAATTGCAATGCACCTAGGACTCATCTAAGTGTTGTGTTAAAATACAGATTCTGACCCAAGAGGTCTGGGATGGACCCTGAAAGTCTGCATTTCTAACAGCCTCCCAGGGTGAAAAAAAAAAAAAATACTGCAGTTCCATGGTCCACAGTTTGGACAGATTTCTCTAGCAAATCTTTTGGTGTTCTTTTAAGCACATGGATGCCTGTCTACAACTAGAATGTATCACATACTTGGTACTTAAATTGCATGTGCAATATGGTTATGCCTTTGCTTTTCACTTTGAAAATAGAAACATCTATTGCTATAGACAACAGAAAAAGAATATCCAGTGCTAAGATGTCTCCTGTGAAGGATGGAGGAGGTTAAGTCATGTCCTTTTCTATCTTAAACATTGTTCCTTTCTTGCCTTTTTTTTTTTTTATTAGTTGGAGGCTAATTATTTTACAATACTGTAGTGGTTTTTGTCATACATTGACATGAATCAGCCATGGAGTACATGTATTCCTCATCCCGATCCCCCTTCCCACCTCCCTCCCCACCCAATTCCTCTGGGTCTTCCCAGTGCACCAGGCCCGAGCACTTGTCTCATGCATCCAGCCTGGGCTGGTGAACTTTTTCACCCTAGATAATATACATGTTTCGATGCTGTTCTCTCAAAATGAAGAACCCCAGGGTTAGTAGAAGGAGAGAAATCTTAAAAATTAGGGCAGAAATAAATGCAAAAGAAACTAAAGAGACCATAGCAAAAATCAGCAAAGCTAAAAGCTGGTTTTTTGAAAAAATAAACAAAATTGACAAACCGTTAGCAAGACTCATTAAGAAACAAAGGGAGAAGAACCAAATTAACAAAATTAGAAATGAAAATGGAGAGATCATGACAGACAACACTGAAATACAAAGGATCATAAGAGACTACTACCAGAAGCTCTATGCCAATAAAATGGATAACTTGGAAGAAATGGACAAATTCTCAGGAAAGTATAACTTTCCAAAACTGAACCAGAAAGAAATAGAAGATCTTAACAGACCTTTCTTGCTTTAAATGACACAAAATCTTGTTCAACAGAACATGCATTCCTCAGCTTGTTATTCATGCTTCTTTGACTCATTTGATCTCTTCTGGAGTGATGCCTGCATTTCAAAAGGAAACTCAACTCTTCAAGGAAGCAAAGTTTTTTAAGCAACAGAAGTTGCAATTACTAAAGGGTAACTATCAACCTAGAAGAGTGGAACGGGGAGGGAGATGAGAGGGAGGTTCAAAAGGGAGGGAATATATGAATACCTATGGCTGATTCATGTTGAGGTTTGACAGAAAACAACAAAATTCTGTAAAGCAATTATCCTTTAATTAAAAAATAAGTAAATTTTTATAAATAAAGAACATTTCTAAAGTAATCATCTAATATTCTGCTCAAGAGAATACACAAGTTGGGAGACTTCTAAACATGTCTGTAATCTAGGATTTCATAGAATAATAACAGTTAACATTTGAGTGTTATCATTTGCAAGGCCCTAGTGTGTTTTATATTAATGAAGTCATTTGATTCCTATTCTCTAGCAGAAAAACTCCAGGGCAAGTAGACTTTTGAACAGAAAGTGAATAAAAGCAAATGCCATAAGTCTATCAAAAGATAAAAAGACTGAGTCTGTGGAACCAGTAGAGTCTTCTAGGCAAAGCAGAAAAAGAATGATCACATAACAAATATAATAAATTAAGGCTAATGATCAAAGTTGTATAAAGCTTCAAATCCATGCCATTCCAATGTTTGAAAAGTCAGGAGCCAGGACCTAATGTCAAACTGCTCTGTTCTGTCCTTGCAAAACTCTGTTTTTGTAATTTGTTATAAAGCAACTTGCTTTCCAGGTGGCTCAGTGGTAAAGAATCTGCCTGCCAATGCAGGCGATATGGGTTTGACCCCTAGGCTATTGGGAAGATCCTCTGGAGAAGGAAATGGCAACCTACTCCAGTTTTCTTGCCTGGGAAAACCCATGGACAGAGGAGCCTAGCGGGCTACAGTCCATGGGGTCACAAAGAGTCGGACATGATTGAGTGACTAAACAATAGCAACAATGACAAAGCAACGTGCATTTAGTAAAGATGATGTTGAAGAATCATCATATTTTTCTTGGCAAGAAAGCAGTGGTTCTCAATTGGGGTGATTTGGATCCCAAGGGGACATTTGGCAATGTCTGGAGACAGTTTTGATTGTCACAGATGAAGGGGAGGGTGCTTTTCTCTTTTATTGCAAATTACATTTTATGAATAAAACAAGTACAAACTAATGTATCAATATTCACATAGCAGAGAGCAGAGATAGTGCTAAACATCCTACAATACACAGGATAGTCCCCTACAACAAAGTATTCTACCATCCACAATGTCAGTAGCACCCAGACGGAGAAACATTACAGAAGGGTATTTCACTGCATGTGCAAGGGCAATATGAAATAATCAAGAGTCTGATTTTTAAACTTTTTAAAATTGAATGTTTACGCCATAGTAATCCTAACCAATACATAGTGAGCACTGTCAGTAACAACCCCGGTTAGCCTCACTCTAGGAGCATGTTGCTGTTACGTGCTGGCTGTTGCTGTGTGCTTCGAAGTAATTTATTCCGTTAAGTAGGTTAAAAGTTGGCCCCCACCATCATGTTGAAACCTTATGTTCATTTATTTATTTTCACTCATCAGCTAAGCATCTGCTATATTCTTGGCCTCAGGGATCCAGAGAATAAAAATAATGTTAAGCACAACAACAAGAAAAAACCCCCCACAAACAAAACCCACAGTCTCTGGCCTCAAGGTGTCAAGAGCAGAGAGTGATGAGAAGTGAACAGACAACCTAAAACTTGTGGGGTAAGTACCAGGCAAAAGATAGACACAAGTGTGGGGAGGGAGGGGGGAAGGAGAGTGTTTCCTCAAAGAGATGGTACCAAAGCCGAGTCCTGGAGAAGCATGGGTAGGTGAGTAAGTTGGGGACTGGTGTTTGGGTCGATGGAGCTGCTGGGATCAAGATGCTACCTGTGTTTCTCTGTTAGTCTATGATAGCACTAACAGTGATAAAAATAATAATAAAACTCCCAAAATAAATTTCTTGGAGCAAACAGTAGGGGCCAGACACTGTATTAAGAAACTTGCCTATATTAACTCAGATAATCCTCACAAAAGCCCTATAACACAGGTACTGTGAATAGTCTCATTTTACAGTGAGGAAACTGAGGCAAAGGGTGGTCCAAGTGACCTACCCAAGGTCACATGGCTAGTGACTGGTAGTTGGGATTCCAAATTGACTTAACCAGCCACTAGTGCCTAAATTCTTAACTACTATTATCTACTATGTGAAGAGACAGAAGATATGGTAATTGTCCCCACCAGGTCTGTTAGCTAAGAGACTCACTCAGATTTAATCTGAAAGGCAGAATAGATTCCGTATAGGAATGGAAGTCATTTGCCTGGGAAGCCATGCTATTAGGATGAAGACCAAACTTTTCTAATCATGAATTGTCAGGCCATGCCTGATCGGGCCCTGACTCACAGATCCGTCTCTATCTCAATCCCTCTTAATCTCCATCTCAGTCTGGGCAGCCCCTTCAGTGGTTTTGGAGCCAGATGATGGCCACTTTGTTTGCCCCCTCCAATTCTGCAGTGTTCAAGAGCAGCTTCACTCTTTCCTCACTCACGCCAGTTTTCAACACCAGAACATTCAGAGTTGAGGCTGAAGCCCTCCAACAATGACCTGATGGCCTCTCCCATCCAGCAGCGGGCGGCACCACTGAAGAAGACCTTTCAAACACACTCCTTTCCCCAGGAGACATCTGGGCCATATTTTCACACACACTCTACCAAGATATGATGAGAAACCATCAGATGAACAGCCTCCAGTACTGTTCTGACCTTCCCATCTACGGACGTCACAAAAGAGAAAATTTCTCTTTAGAATGAGAAACATATTCCGGAGTCAGCTACGCTCCCTGACCCTGAAGATACTTGGTTTTTTCCAGCTTTAAGACACTCTAACCTCATGATTCAGAGGAAGGTGGAAAAGTAGTTAAGAGCACAAGCCTGGGATTGTGACTTTGGGCTGGTCATGTAACCTCTCTGAGCCTCAGGTTTAGTAATAATATCTCATTTCACTGGGCTGTATTATGTAGCAAAGTATCTGGCACATGCACACTCAATAAATGTTAGCTTTTATTATAATTAAATTATGAAGAAAGAAGTGAGCAATCTGGAAAGAACTATAGGCTGTGTGTTTGTAGATGCATAGGAAACAGTTGAAGATGTCACAAAAGATTTTACTGGGGTACAAAGGAAATCCCACACTTGACATACAGTCTTTAAAACAACTGACTGGCCTGTATCTTTTGTAAGTTTTTAAAGATAAAGTTAATAAACAATGAAATAGCTACTTGGTACTTTCACAAATTTGACTGCCAATCAACAGCTCCTGCTTGAAAAGGGAAATGGGGAGGGCCAACATCCCAAACTGCCTGAGTTAGTGGGCTAAGACTTCACAATGAAGGAGCTATATTTAGTCAGCGGCTGCCCCTGGCATTCACAGTGAAAAATGAATGCCATCAAGGTGGCAAGGCTACCACAGCTTGTGTCCATCTGGGCAGTATATCTTCTTGAAAAGCAAGTTTTTTGTTTTGTTTTCTGTACATTTGATTGGTCTGTGTCAAATCATGCCCAATACCTAAGACTTTGGGGGGGTGCCTAAAAAAAAAAAGACCCCTAACTAGATCATCAGATAAGATGCCTTTCCAAGGGAAAAGAAAATGAAAAGAAGAGATGCAATCCTATTCACCTATGATTTTTTTTAAGACATTTTTTTATTGCTCTTGGAAATACGCATTAAACATGAAGCTAGGGGAAGGTTGACAAGGCAGCTGATCCAGGCCTGTCCCACTCCAACTAATTTTAACTTGGCAGAGTCTGTTCAGAGGCCAGTGCCCTCCACATACCAAGCTGTTCCGAGTTCGTTAAGTAACACATCCTGAGGCTCTGAGTAATTGTCTACAGAACCCCACAAATGAGAGTCCTTTTCTGCAAAGGGGCAAACAGCCTGAACCATAACAGAAATTATGAACTCCTTTTCTCTCCCCTGAGCTGGCTATCAGGTCCTACATCCTCTCAACAACTGTCGCGTGCTCTTTGGCCAGGATTCCTGTGTGATTGATCTGGGTGTGCCTGAGCTTGGTACAGAGAAGTGACTCAATAAATAAGCCAAAGAACAGTTAACCAACTTCAGAAACCACCCTACTCACCCTTCCCCACACCTTCCAAGTTTCGATTTTTCCTTTCTCCCAGGCCAACTTTCTTTTTCCCTGTGTTCAATTTCAAACAGAAATGTCAGCCACTTCTTTAATGACAAGTGGATTCCTTTATAAAGTCTGAGGGTGGCTTTTTCTTTAAAGATGCATGGGATCAGCAAGATGTAGAATAGCACCACACCATCTTGCAAAAGTGAGTGAAGTATTTTTTAAGGGATGACCTACAAGAAAAAGTGGTTTCTAGAAGAGCAGGTGTTGGGTAAAATCGTATATAACACAGGACACTTAATTTTAAGACCGGGTGCGAAGATAAAGTAACCATCCCTGGCAAGTCCTGAAAGAAAAAAAGAGCAAAAGGGACACCGTTTCTACATGGCAGACTTCGCCCCATACTGGGAGATGCGCCACCAGGCTACACCCACCCTTTTGCTCTTAAGCTCAGCTTTCTCATACAATGTGGCAGGCGCTAGGCCGAGAAACTCAGAAAGAGCAACGCTTCTCTGATGTCCTTTTTACTCTAACACCCCAGAACGCAAGTTCGGATCCATACCCTGGGGCCCCAAACCTTCCAGGACGGCGTCCGCCCCAGCCAGCTGCAGGATAAGGTTACACCACTTTTCTCTTTCTTCTTATTTTTAACAGACCGGGACGCGACAAATATCAACGACAGCAAAAGCGTAATCGGGGCGGAGGAAGAAAAAAAAAAAAGTCATTTTTTTCTTGCTAGAGGCTGGCAATATTTCCGCACTCCCTAGGACTCCTTTCACGCTTCAGCCCGAGGCGCAGAAAAGAAAAAGGACCCCAGATTGCTGTGGCCTCGCCCTGCGAACAAGTGTCCACGGGTTTGCCCGCTTGCAATTATCAGGACAGGAGACCGGCGCGGAGAGCGTTTCCGCATCCTGGGATCCTGCACCCAGAGCCCGCTCCGTGCTGACCCCGATCACTGCCCGGGAGGGGAACCCCACTTACCCCACAACGGAAATCATCATGGCAGCCACCACCAGGTAGTTGGTCTGGTAATAGAGCAGGTTGCTCACCACACGGTTGTTCCATTTGGAAATGTCCCTGAAGTCCGGCCGGGCAAAGCGGTCAGAGCCTGGGAAGAAATCGTCCCAGGCGCGGAGAGGAGCGATATTCACATCCATGTTTCGCGTCCCACCTTCTTGTTCTTTGCTTCTGGAATCTGACGGCGGCGGCGCGGCAACAGATCAGCTGAGCTGGGTTAAAGTTGACAGGAGGCTTTGCCTCGATCGGCTCTGCGGTTGGCGGACAGTGGAGTAAAGGAAATTGGGAGCGGACGGGCGTTTCTTCTCTTCTTTGCTTCTTGATTGGTTCTAAGCGGTTGGTTACAGGAAAACAGGGTCCCCCGAAGCAGAGCAGAGATGAACCGACAGAAAGTAACCAGCGGAAATCCTCTGGGTGAAGTGAGGTGGCAGAGCCTTCCCCGGCAGTCCGAATACAAACAACCTTCTTTAAAATACCCCTTTTGAATGTTTAACCTAGGAATGTTGTCTGGACTATAGGGAAAATTTTTGCAGCTGTTCAGAAGCGCCAATTGAGTGAAACGGAGTGGAAGGTAACTGTAGTGTTACTGAAGGATGCGCTGGTTTTGAAAGTTAAGTCGTTACTAACCTTTGCGCATCCAAATGCAATTCACATGTTTTCTGTTTCACGATGAGTCACCGTAAGTGAAATCAGACTGGTCAAATGGAAAAGAAATACGTGTGTAGAGCAGAACGGCTGGTTTGTTTTTTCACTCCCCTTCTTTATTCTCCATCTTTGTTTTCTGTGGGCAAATTTATACACCTACTGTGCCCTTCTGATGAAGTGGGCACTCAGGTCACTTCAACCCTGAGCTGAGCATGTTGTTTTGCTTGAAAGTAAACAGTGATCTGCAGTATACTGATAGTTCTGCTGGAAATACTGTTCCAGTATTTTCTGGACAGAAACATGGATTCCACTCCAAAAGTTTTTCTTACTTTTGTCCTAATTTCTGTGCACAACTCTAAAGGAGCATAGTATTTTAATAGATAATGTGGTAGCTCGGTATCCCAGCCCAAAGAACTGCCAAGAGATGTAATAGTTGTAAATTTCCTTCTTGGGGGTTCCAAAGAGTCATCTTTTTTTCAGTTAAGGGAGTGGTTGATAAAGGAAACCTCCTGTTATCAAAATGCATGAGAATAAAGTACTTTGGTTAGTAACAGATCATGTGATTCTAAGATGCTAATGTCTAAGATAATGAAATCTCTAAACCTGCAAGTGGTGCTGTTTTTACAAATTGAATTCATTTTCCTTAGACCACCAATTTTCAAAAAAGTTGGAAAGTGATAAAATGTATGTAATGCAAAGTCTTGAAGACATAATTTTATTTCCCTGGATAATTCAGAAGGTAGCTAAGGAAATTTCAGTGGCTCTAAGAAATTAATCCTACTACTGGTGTTTAGAAAAGTATGATGATTGGATAGAATCAGTGCTAAGATATAGCGTTCAGTTCAGTTCAGTTCAGTCACTCAGTTGTGTCCAACTCTTCGTGACCCCATGGACTGCAGCACGCCAGACCTCCCTGTCCATCACCAACTCCTGGAGTTTACCCAAACTGACGTCCATCAAGTCAGTGATGCCATCCAACCATCTCATCCTCCGTCGTCCCCTTATCCTCCCACCTTCAATCTTTCCCAGCATCAGGGTCTTTTCAAATGAGTCAGTTCTTCATATCAGATAGCCAAAGTATTGGAGTTTCAGTTTCAGCATCAGTCTTTCCAGTGAATATTCAGGACTAATTTCCTTTAGACTGATTGGTTGGATCTCCTTGCAGTCCAAGGGACTCTCAAAAGTCTTCTCCAAATCACAGTTCAAAAGCAGCAATTCTTCAGCGCTCAGCTTTCCTTATAGTCCAACTCTCACATCCATACATGACTACTGGAAAAACCATAGCCTTGATGCTTTCTGAATAGTGTTTACCATGTGAAAGTGTTCCTGAGCTCTCACATTTTCTTGACTCTGGAAAAATGGGAAGGTTTAAAGTCAGAGCAAAATTAGAGTCCTAGCTCCTTTGTTGCTGGTGGGTGATTTTGGAGAAATTACTTAATTTCCTCCAACCTCAGTTTCTTCATGTGTAAAGTGGGTGCTATAGGAACATCTGCCATGTAGGTGAATGAAGATAAATAAAATAGTGGATGGGAAATGTTTGGAGTATAGGGATTGCTCACAGTTAGATGTTACTGTTTACTTTTTTTTTTTTTTTAAGATACCTGATATTTTGGCAATTTAAAACATATGTTTTATTTGGCTGGGTTAGGTATTGGTTTTGGCAGGTAGTATCTTCGATCTTTGTTGCAGCAAGAGGAATCTTTACTTATGGCATGTGGAGACTGTAGTTATGCCATGTGAAAACTCTTCGGTTGTGGCAGGAGAACTCTTTGGTTGCAGCATGTGGGATATAGTTCCCTGATCAGGATTGGAACCTAGGTCCCCTCCATTGAGAGTGTGGAGTCTTAGTCACTGGACCACCAAGGAGGTCCCTATTGTTACTGATATTAATCATAATATGATTCATTTATATGGTATTAACAGTGCTTTAACCTGAGTTGTTTTCTATGCCGCTACAGTGAATGTTCACTGACCCTTCTCTATCTTGTTGCACTTTTATTTCTATGATTGTATCCCAGTAGACTTGATGGCCAAAAAAAAAAAAGGTTGAAAAGTTTCACTTTTCAACAGATTGAGGACGCCAACAGATTGAGTCCTTTCCAGGTAAAACAGGTGAAAAGAATGCAGTCTTGCTATGCCTTCAAGGATCTTGCTATGCAGTAGAGACTTAACTACTGGACAGTGAGTACTAGATAGAGGTGTGCCAGTGCTTGATGCTCAGTTACAGGAAGTCAGAAGGTGTGGAAGAATTCCTTGGGGCTTGAGAATTTCGAGAAGCAGCACTGTGGCCAAGCTGAGTAAATGATCTCCGTTAAGACCAATGTAGGAGCCCCAGTAGGACCCCATTAGGAGCTGTGGCCAAGAACTCTTACCATCCAGTTTCTCAGGACTGCATGACCATAAGCTGTCAAGTGTGTGTTAATAATAATATCATTACTCATTGGTCATAGGCAATTAACATCCAGTAAATATTTGTTCAGCATTTTTTAATTTATTTGTTTAAACTTTCAAAGAAGTTTAAAAATAAAGAAATGAAAAAACTTGGATAGAGCTATATATAGCATGATCCTTTTCTTCCTGTCTCCTAAAATAGTAACCATGCTTCTCTCTCTGGTTCAACTATGAGAGACTTCTTTTTTTCCCACTACACATTTCTACCTTTATCATAAAATCATTTAAAATAAAAATGAACACATATGGAATCCTTACTTTATTTCTGGCTGTTTGAAATGCTCTACTTTAGTAACAGCTCTTTGTCACTATTTATTTAGGGGGATGGGATTCAACATAGAGGCCTTTCTGGGGCTTTTCTGTCCAAATCTCTGCTTCTAGATAGGCCACTCAGGAGTATTGTCTGTATATAAATCATAGTGGATAATCTAAAAGTTCGTTATATATTCCATTTGAAATAAGGTAAATCTGATGTAGGTTTTGCTTGCATGTATCTGTTACTTTCATAATTGGCAAGGACAAGTGGCTCTTTCTTATCAGTCACGCTGAGCCAGTGGGAGTGCCTGGTGTCATCTATCAGAATCCCACCACAGTGAGTCAGGGTGTGAGTCCCAAGGCAGGAGCAGGGCCAGATGACTTCTTCCTGGGCCAACTGGCTTAGACAGTGAAGAATCTGCCTGCAATGCAGGAGACCCGGGTTTCATCCCTGGGTTGGGAAGATCCCCTGGAGAAGGGAAGGGCAACCCACTCCAGTATTCTTGCCTGGAGAATCCCATGGGCAGAGGAACCTGGTGGGCTACAGTCCATGGGGTCACAGAGAGTTGGACTCGACTGAGCAACTAACACTTTCACTTTTTTCATTTTCTTGTGCCAGCAGCTTCCTGTTTCTGGGCCTGAGCTTTGTCCTCATGAAATGGTGGGTTTGAACTATGTGGTCTCCAAGGTGTCCCTTGGTTTTTATCATTTGAGAGGGCTGTGATGCTCACTGCCATTAATGGAAAGGCCTCCTAAAAGCATTGCTGGAGACCCAGCACACATGAGTCTGTTTTGAAAAAGAAGGGTTTAACCTTAGTAGTTTCCATCTGTAAAGGAGTTTGGGCAAAAAAAAAAAAAAAAAAGTTTTTGGGTTGTTGTTGAGACATGTGACGTGGAGAGGGGCTGGTGTCTGTCTCCTAGTGTGGGACTTTGGGCTATGAACTCTGTCCCTCCATTGACTGTCTGGCACTGACTTTCAGCTCAGTGAATGTTATTGAATTAAACTTGATTGGGGGCTAATAAAGATCAAAGAGGAAATTAAATATAATTTATCAGCAGCTACATTAACTCAGTGCTAACCAGGCTTTATGCTTTCCATTTCAGCGATTCTCAAGGTTTATTTTGCCCAGAATCAACCTGGGTTTACTGAAGTCTGCAAATAGGGCCTGAAAACTTGCATTTATAACAAGTTTCCTAATGATGCTGACGTGGCTGATCAGGGACTATATTTTGGAAACTGAATAGATTTCATTTAATTTCAGACTTACAAGGTGAACATTATCATCCTCAGTTTACAAATGAAGACACAGTAGTGCCCAAAGTCTCTCAGTTAATAGGTGGAGAGTTAAGGATTTAAATAAACCGACCTTTCTGACTCAAAATCTCATTCGTGTCCCACTCCAAGAAAGGATATATGTATGTATGTATGTATGTATGTGTGTGTATATATATATATATATATATATATATATATATATGTTTTGCTTGTTTGTTTTGAACATGGTTGTTTCTATCCAGCCATTCAGACACATAGGAACTCAGGTGCCTGCGTGTGCAGACACACACAGACACACACACACCCCTATGTATCCACTTATATGTCTGC